CTACCTACTTTACCATTGAAAAATGGCAGATTCATTCATAACACGACTCAAATCTAATTAGAAAATTATCGACAACATGAAGACTTAATTGTAATTTTTGCTTTCTATTTTTTTAAAAATAAGTTGTCATTGTGATTTCTAAAAATCGAGTTTTATGGTCCCTTAACTGCAAAAACAATATTTGCAGCATGTAAAATGAAATTATTTGATTTTATTTATCTTCAAATAGTTAAAAAAAAAATATCAAGAAAGAGGCAAATGGAACAATATTTTTCATAAATTTCAATCTGAATAAAAAAACTGAAACTTCTGATAGGCATTAAAACTAAATAAAAGTTTAGGGAGGGCCATGGATAAAAGTTAGTACTTAGCAACTGTCAATTGCCACTTTGTAATTGTCAATTACTATTTAGTAACTGTCAAATATAAGTTTCAGTCAAACTATTTTTGTGTCAATTGACAGTTACTAAGTTAATTGTCAAATACTAACTGCCAAATACTAGTTACCAGGTAGCAATTGTCAAATATTAACTGTCAATTGCCCAAAAACAATGTACTTAACCTTTCTACGCTTTTGTATATTTCTTTTATTAGTTTTCAAAAAAATAACTTTAGCATTTAAGTCTTAGTTTGGTATTTGTAATTTAAACTGTCAATTGACAGTTACTAAAATTTTTAATGTTCTTTTTATTATTCTTCAAAAAAAACCTATAGAAGTCTTAAGTCGACTAAGTTTCTAATTGCCAGATACTAACTGTCAACTTACAGTTACTAAATAGCAATTGCCAAATATTAACTGTCAATTGCTGAAAAACAATCTTTTTACATTTTTGTACTTTTGTATTCCTTTTATTATTTTTTCAAAAAAAAAAAAACACTTTTCCAATCTATAAGTCTTAGGGAGAGTTTATAGAAGCCAAATTAAATATTTGATTGCAATTAAATTTAATTCGTTATGTGATTGGTTGAATTTTGGTGAACAACGAATCAGATTTCAGGATTTTGAAGTTAATTAACTTAATTTCGATTTCGATTTCTCTAAACCCACTCCTAGTATCGCTATTTTTGTTATAAACTGTCAATTAACAGTTACTAAATAGTCAATTAACGGTTAATAAGTAACAATTATCAAATATTAACTGTCAATAGTCAAATACTACGTGGCAATTGCTACTTACTGAATTTTAGTTCAGTGAAAAAAATATTTTTATTTTAAAGTACAATAAAACTTTATTATTGCATTATCTGTGTGCAAATCATTCCTGTTGGCTATACAGGGTGTTTTGTAAAAAGACAAAAAAAGAAAAATGCTAAATAAGATAAGATACCAGAAACATTAAAAAATGTTTAAAAAATTCTATCTAACAAAAATTTTTGACATTTATTTTTTGAAATTTGACATTTTTTACCTCTACTGTTAATCTTGTATAGGTATGTTTTTCCATAATTATTCAGTAAAGGTACACAAACTTTTTTAATTTATAGATAAAATTCTTTTAACATTTTGTCCATGTTCCTGATATCTTACTTTACTTGGCATTTTTCTTTTTTTTTCTTTTTTTACAAAATACCTTACCTTTACTTTTTATAATAAACTTATTTTCTAGAAAACTTATTAGTGCTTTGATGCAATGAAATGAAGTCATCTTAAAAAAATTCTTTTTTACGCAAAAAATATCAGTAAAAAAGAACTTTGAGAATTATAAAAAGCTCTTATAATTATGTAAGTTTGACTTTGGATTATGTATACCTGTACTTATTATTTAAATTTTTAAAAATTTATATAAAATTTTCATAAAATCGTTTATATTTTATACACATTTAGTCCCTTAAATTTTCGTTACAGCGAGGTTCTACTGTATTTTCTACTACCAGCCCTGTTTTTTCTAAATTTTATTTGTGAAATAAACGAGACTATCTCTATACATTTTTAAATTAAATTATCTAATAATTTTTTCAAAAAATAAGCTCTTATACAAGCTGGATTATTAAAAACGCCATGATTTAAGTACTTTTAAATAGGTTACAATATTTCTTTGACAAAGTTGAGAAGTTTTTTGTTATCAGTTATTGGCTTGTCTTAGATAAAACAAATAAAAATGTTCTAATTCCAAAACTAAATATACAGGATGTTCTATTTCAAAAACTGAAGGATTTTTATAAAATCGTATATATTCGATATACTTTTGGTCTTTCAAAACAGCGAGGTTCCACTGTATTTTTTATTGTTTTTATAAAATTTCAATTGTAAAATAAACGAGTCTGTTTCCATACATTTTCGTACAATTAAATTACGTAGTGATTTTTTCTCGCTGTTGTCGCTCTCGTGGGGGTCTGTTTGGGGCAAACAAGGGCGCGTGTCCACCCCTGTCCCTATGAAACGAGTAGGCCGTCCATCTCCGCTAATACATTTACACATATAAAATAACAAGAAGTCGTCACATTGTGACACGACCATGTGTTAAAGGAGGTGTACCCATCGACGTCCTCTCCGGCGGCGGGTCGCGTTCCGCCCCCCACAGCTGCAATGACAATTGTCACATATTGCGCCCCGTGCCCCCACAATACACCGGAAGCACCCCTCGGAAGTGGCAAACTTGTAAAAAATCGCACTTTGCGATTTTATCTGGATTATAGTGGAGATGGGGGCCATCTTGGCGCTGCCGGCCTGATTATAGTGATAAACCGGGTCTTGATTTGGCCCCCGAAGCAAGAACTTTTATTTCTTTGACAATGTATATCATGAGGCAACGACTCATTACTTTTATGGCGAATTAGGCCTGGCAGCGGCCCAAGGGCCCCCGTCCGATGAACATGTCTCGCAAAGAATGGACTTTTTTCAAATGCGGGGTCGTAAAATGACAGAATAACGTTCGCAGTTTCCTGTCGGCGAAGCTAAGAGTAATGCAATACTTTATTGTCGCGTTTCTTGTGACGACAGAGGACCAAAAGCTACATTCCGGATGTGGCGAATGCCATTGTAGGTGAGGCTTTTGTGCACTTCACTTGCAACAATTGCGGTTTCCTGAATTACCTGTGAGCTTTCCGATCGCTTTGATGTCTTCATATTTGGGTTACGGGACACTAACAGCCCTAAAATACGCAATTCTAGGCCCTATTTGGCCACAAATCAACAAATTTTAGCATGGTTTTTACCAACACCTAATTTAGGTTTTACTCACCCAAATATGCGCAGAAGTGCACCAGAGACCAAGTAGACGCACTATTTTAGCACAAAACACACTTTTTCACGCAAAATTTGAAATTTTTTACCACTTTTATGTCAAACAAAAATTGAAACTGTCAAATTTACATTTAGGGAGTTTTTTATTTAAAACAAAAGACGATCGGGTGACGATCGCGATCACGGGTAATAAATTACTAATTTAATTATTTTATTAATTTATAAATTTATAACCGTGTTAGGATAGCATCTTTCACACTTTTATCGGAATTTCGTCGTGATTATAATTATTTCACGGGGGGTTTGAATTTGAAACTGTTTTTAGGGAATTTTGATTTTTACAAAACCCAATTATTTTAATATTAAAAAATTATTCTGGCTTTCAAATCAATTTGGAATTGTGCTAGGATAGCATTTTTCACACATTTATCGGAATTTTAACGTGATAATAATTATTTCACTGAGGGGTTTGAATACGAACCTGTCTTTAGGGAAGTTTGATTTTAACAAAATTTAATTAATTCATTAATAAAAAATTGTTTTGACTTGGAAATAAATTTTTAATGGTATTAGAATAATGCTTTTTACACTTTTATGAAAATATTAGCATGATCGCAATTATTTGATTGAGAGGGTTGAGTACGTTTTTAGGGAATTTTGATTTTAATTAAAATTCTAAGACAATTTAATTATTTTTTTAATAAAAAAATATTTTGGTTTAAAAATCAATTTGTAATCGAATTAGAATAACATCTTTGACAGTTTATTAAAATTTCAACGTGATTATAATTTAATTATTTAAGGGAAAGGGGTTGAAAGTTTGAAAGTGTCTTTAGGGAATTTTAATTTTACATAAAATAATAACATAATACTGCAAAAGAAAATTTTTAATTGCAGTTTTTTATTAATTTTATGTAATCAGTGAGTGACTCGTTTAGGAGAAGGGTGTGAAAAAATCAGAAATAATTTTTTGTTCGATTTAGCCGGGTGTCGAACCTGAAAAAAGATCGCTAATCTGTCAAAATATATTTAATTGTAATATAAACGAGTCTGTCTCTATACATTTTTGAATTAAATTATCTAATATTTTTTTCAAAAAATAAGCTTTTACAAGCTGGATTATAAAAAACGCCATAATTTATGTACTTTTAAATAGGTTACAATATTTCTTTGACAAAGTTGAGAAGTTTTTTGTTATCAGTTATTGGATTGTCTTAGATAAAATAAATAAAAATGTTCTAATTCCAAAACTAATAAAATATACAGGGTGTTCTTCAAAAACTGAAATTGATGTCTTTGGATTATGCATTTATTATCAGAATTTCTGAAAATTTCTCTAGGATTTTTATAAAATCGTATATATTCGATATACTTTTGACTTGGAAATCAATTTTTAATCGTATTAGAATAATACTTTTTACACTTTTATGAAAATATTAGCATGATCGCAATTATTTGATTGAGAGGGTTGAGTGCGTTTTTAGGGAATTTTGATTTTAATTAAAATACTATGACAATTTAATAATTTCATTGATAAAAAAATATTTTGGTTTAAAAATCAATTTGTAATCGAATTAGAATAACATCTTTGACAGTTTATTAAAATTTCAACGTGATTATAATTTAATTATTTAAGGGGTTGAAAGTTTGAAAGTGTCTTTAGGGAATTTTAATTTTACACAAAATAATAACATACGAATAGTGCAAAAGAAAATTTTTAATTGCAATTTTTTTATCAATTTTTTTTAATCAGTAAGTGACTCGTTTGGGAGAAGGGTGTGAAAAAGTCAGACATAATTTTTTTCTTCGATTTAGCCGGGTGTCGAACCTGAAAAAAGATCGCTAATCTGTCAAAATATAGGTTACCGGTGGTGATTGTGTTGTGAAATAATTGTTTTTGTGATTTTTCAACAAAAACACTTTAAAGCCTTATCGAGGTGAGTAATTCGAGCTGGGGAATCGATAAGTGTGAGCAAAATCCCGATTTTTTGCTCCATATGGTGGCAAAAAGCAGGTGTTTTTTTTGAGGTTATGTCACTTTCACGTGTTTTTTGCGCCGTTCGGGTTTATGTTTTGGCGTTGTTGGGTTGTTTTGTGGATTACAATGCAAAAAAGTTTGTTTTGCGTAATGTTTGGTTGCGTTTTTGTGAAAATAGCGATTTTTGTGGGTAAGATCGTGTGTGGTCGCTTGTCGCCATCTGGTGGGGCGTTGTGTAATGAGGCAACGACGGTGGCGGCGTTTTCGAATAGTTGGAATAATTGCGAGTTTAGTAAAAAATTGATTAAATCAGCGAAATTTCGAAATTATAACGGCGGATTTATCGGCCTGGGGCCGTTGTGTGGTAAATTACATTAATATGAAAGTAGGAATTGATGGTAAATTCGAAATTGTAGCCTATGGAACGGTGAGCTTATTATTATGTAGTGCTTTTTGAAAAATGTTGAACGCTCTGCAAAATCCCTAAGTTACAATTTCGGTATCAGATTGAAAATTGCTATTTTGTGCAAATTAAGTTGCAGTCGGTGATGTGTGTTATTATTTGAACGCATAACCGACGATTTGCATATCGGAAAATGGACGAAAAAAGCGCTGAATGCCAACTCGTGACCTTATCTAAAAGGTGCTTTAATTCGGTTTTGTTGCTTGTGTTGCAGATCATGCCACCTAAAAAGGTACAAGAACCGGAGAGAAAGCCGCTCATAGGGAGGGTAGGCACCAATTTGAGGGTCGGCATCGTCGGAATACCCAATGTTGGCAAATCGACCTTCTTTAATGTGCTCACCAAGAGCTCGGCCGCCGCCGAAAACTTCCCCTTCTGCACCATCGACCCCAATGAAAATAAGTATCCCTACAATTTTTACCAATCCAAAAAAATGACCTGATATTTCAAAAAAGTTTGATAATTTAGTGATTGAAAAATTTAAATATAAAAAATAATTGGGAATAATTACTTGAGTTCTAGTAATAGACAGCAGGAATTAAATTTTGATTATGTGCATATCTTTTTTGCTTCTGAAAGATTCAAAAAAATTGTTCAGTTTACGTTAAACCAATTTCAAGTTCTTCAATTTTGCTTAAACTCGATAAAGTATTTTCCTCTTTTCTCTTTTTTTGTATTCAAAAATTTTTACTCATTTTTATTTTGTTAATTGAAAACGGTTTATGTTTTGAAATCTAAAAATTGAAAACTTTAAAATTGATCGAACTGCATTTCAAAGAGTCTAAAAGTACATAAAACACAAAAAAAAAATTTTTTAATATAAAAATTGTTTTAACTCTATTACGGGCTTTTTTATGGATATTTCAAACTTTATGTTGAAGATCAAAAACTCTAATTTTGCTCCAATTTCTATCGCCTAAACAAAAAAAATAATTTTTACTCTAACTTGTGACATTTAGTCATAACAGTAGTAACTTTTGCGACGTTTGCGGATAAATTTATAAATAAAAATGTCAAAAACGGCACATCTAGATTTGTTTGTTGTTACATCGGGGCTTAATTGAAAAATAAAACAAAACAATAAAAACCTAAACTATATTGAATATTTTATTCGAGGGCTCCATGTCTTCAGGACTTACCCTATTACCGAAAAACAAAAGTAAAATAAAGTAAGAAAAACTGAAAATGAAATTAAAACTGTGGCTTTAATTATCTACAAAAGTAGACATTTCAGATCTGAAAATTAATTGACGAAAAAAAAATTACATTAAAATTACTGTTTGCGAAAAAAAAAACTAGAATTATGTATTTGATTTGTAAGAAATTGGAATGAAAACCTTTCTCATTCATGATTTTTTCGTCTAAGTAGGAATTTTGCATTAAATTTTAAAGTATTCAAATGATCATTTCAAATTTAGTTTTTGAGTTTTATTAGACAATTTTGATGAAATAAATAAATTAACATAGAAATGAAAAAATGCAAGAGTAACAAAAACAGATTTCGTGAAATTTTCCCATTAAAACAAGATTTTTGGGCATTATTTTGAAAATTATTATAAAATGTGCCATGTTTGTGTCGGTGCCTAATTACCATTCACCCACATACTCGCTGAAAAACTGAAAATTTCTGTTATAGTAAAGAGCACAAATTTTTGAAATTTTGGTCCTAATTTTTTTATTTGTCTAAATTGCACGAAAACTGTATTTTAATGATATAATATTTTAATATAGACATACATATATGAAATGTTCCGGGGAATCGATTGGCGTCAAAAAAACTATAAAATTCCTAATAGTTTTGAAGTTATAAGCGGATGTTAATTTTTGATATTTTTGAATTTATCAGGAATTTTCTCGATAACTGTTTATCGTAGAGCACTGAACTTTTTTATTTATGATAGAAAATTAAATTTTCTTTCCAACTGTACCAAATATAAGAGGTTATATACAATAAGTCCGGAGTTATTGGCAGTAGACCGCTCCGGGTACCAAAAATCGACCAAAATCCAAAAAAATTTCAACTTTAAAATTGATCTATTTTACGTTTTTTACATTTGTAAAGGTCTTAAGGACTCAAATAAGTGCATAAAACGCCATTGGGTCAAGTTTCAAAAATTTTGAATTTTTTGAGTRTTTGAAGGTGAGCGGTAGTAAAATCGTAACAATAGTCAATTTACTAAAAGTCGTAAAAACGCTTGAAATATGGTTTTCTAGACGTAAAATTACTCGCTGAACACGATTCAACTAGTTAGAATACTCTACGATGCATAGTTTTTGAGATATTGAGTCATAAAGTTAAGAATAAGGCTAAAAGTATAAGCACTATATCCGATTTTGAACAAAAATCAAAATTCTTTGATTCTTATGAAAAACTAGTACTATATGTAAAATTAACCGGAGAACACGCCTGGAAACATCGTTTTGACCTAGGACTCATAGTTTTTGAGATATGAATTTTTTTTTGAAAAAACTAAAAAGGGCTCTGTACCCGGAACCATAACCTGGAGCGACTTCCGGTTTGCGCCAGTAAATAGATAATTTTAAGCTAATTTTAATGGTTTTTAGCTATTTCCTCAAGTTCTATAGTTTCGTAGAAAAACGCATTTAAAGTTTCACAATTTTTACAATTTTCACTTTTTGAACGGCGATTACGGCCAAACTATTAGACTTAGAGCAAAGAATTTAATTCCATCGTAATCAGCGTAAGAAAATCTATCGACTGAGGCCAAAGCCAAGTCGATATCTCGCAAAAAAAAATTTGAATTTTTAAACGCCGATTACGGGGAAACTAAAGGAGATAGCGCAAAATAATTGGGAAATTCGTAATCAGCGCGTCAAAATCTATCGGATAAGATAGGTTTAAATTGAATCTGAGACATGTTTAAAAACACTAGTAAACCTATGTAAAATGTTCCGGGGAATCGATTGGCGTCAAGAAAACTGCAAAATTCATAGTAGTTTTGAAGTTATAGTCGGATTTAAATTTTCGATATTTTGACTTTATCAGAAAATTTCTCGATAACTATTCATCGTAGAGCACTGAACTTTTTAATATATGATAGAAAATTCAATTTTCTATCCAACGGTACCAAATATAAGAGGTTATCTCTAATAAGTCCAGAGTTATTGCCATTAGACCGCTCCGGGTGCCAAAAATCAACCAAAATCTCGACAAAAATCAAAAAAAATTTTAACTTTAAAATTGATCTATTTTACGTTTTTTACATTCCTAGAGGTCTTAAGGACTCAAATAAGTGCATAAAACGCCATTGGGTCAAGTTTCAAAAATTTTGAATTTTTTGAGTTTTTGAAGGTGAGCGGTAGTAAAATCGTAAAAATAGTCAATTTACCTTAAGTTGTAAAAACGCTTGAAATATGGTTTTCTAGACGTAAAATCACGCGCTGAACACGATCTAACTAGTTAAAATAAAAATAAGTTAAATAAAATTAGTGTAAAAATTTTCTCATAAAAAAACAGAAAAAACAAGTTTTTACTTAAAAGTTGGGTTAATTCCAGCCGTCACATCTAAAGTGACAAAGTGTCAATTTTTGTTGACATTTTTAAAACGTTTCCATTTTCTACGTGTTGTTACTCTTATAAAGAGAAAGCAAAAAAATGTCGGATTATTCCGATTACGTCTACAGAAACAATCATCTCTCCAACATTACCCCCGACCAAACTGTAATCATCAAAAAGAGTCTTCTTCGCCTCCTTCCTGGTGTCAAATTCGAAGAAGACCAAAAATTTGCCCCACCATCCGAAGAATGGTACCCTTACGTCAACTCCTACTACCCTTTCACCGAAGACGTCGACGCTTTCGCCCGCGTGAGCCATTTACTCGAGTCCAAACGTTCAATGGACTCCTTCGACAAAGAACTCGCTTATAGAGAAATCAACGAATATTCGGAACGCAAAACCCATCGACAATTTTTACGAAAAAGACCCATGACATTCCTGATTTTGGGCAAACCTGGGATGGGCGAAGAGGAAATCGGACGTCGTTTGGCCGAGTATTGGAAATGCGTCTATATCGACCCTTTGACCCTCCTCGAGGAGGAAATCGCCCTTGAGACACGCGCCGGTCAATGCATCGAGTTTAATTTACGATGTGGTCGAGCTGTTGGTATTGACATTTTGTTGCGATTGTTGACGAAGAAAGTACAAACACCGGCGGTTTTGCATCGGGGGTTTGTCTGTTGTGGGTTTCCCCTGATACCAAACGAGTTGTATGAAGAAGACCCGATTTCGTCAGAATCGGCGATTTTTAACGTTAAAGAAATCTTCGAGGAGATGATCGACCAAACAATTCGTTTTACTGATTTCTCAAACAAAGTTGAAGTTTCAATGATTGATGAAGAATCCGGCCAAACTGAGAAGGAATCAGTCGAAGAACATTCAATGGACGAAAGTGGCCTTAAAATGTCTCTAGAGTGGAGTATCGAAAATCAGATTTGTGGCCCAACTGATATTTCCACTGATTTGGAAAAACAATTAAATTGCCTTTTTGGCGTTTTCCACGAACCTTATTTACTCATCTATATCTATGGTAAAAATTCCGATGTTATCACAAGACGAGACAACTATTTTTACGATGTTTATTCGAAAAATACCATCGATTTGCAAAAAATTGGGTTATTTTATGAAATTGGAGCTTCGAATGAATTTCTGACTGAGGATTTGTTCGATAATGGCCGTAATCCATTTGCTGAAAATCCTGAACTGAAACATTTGGTTAAAGTACCTGAAAATATGCCGGCAAATGTGAGTACTCAATTGGACCAGTACCACACGATTGCCAACCAAATAGATGGACGTGTTTTAGTCCACGATATTCAATATTATTTGAAATTGGATGGAAGATGTTTCATTTCGCAAATGATGAACTCGATTAAATCACGACTTGAAGTCTTACCATTACAGAAAGCTGTAATTCCTGAAAGATTCAACAGTACTTTTGAATTACACGGCGAAGGAGTCGAAAATGAAGAAACAATGACTCTAGACGAGGCTTTTTTAAAATTCTCCAAACAAAACACCATTGGTTCAATTTTTAAATGGTCTTGGTCTGATTGGGGTACTTTATGCCCAGTCTCCATGTTCCAAGGAGTGTACCAAAATGGGTCCCCAAATCACGCTGTTCATTTTCTCAACAAGATTTATTTTCTCAATAGTGAGAATGCACTTGAGAAGTTTGAGGAAAATCCTCGTCCTTATCTCCTACCACCGTTTCCTAAGCCGGGTTCAAGAGTCTTTGTTTTTGGACCTCCGATTTCGGGAAAATCTGCTGTTTCGAAATGTTTGGGTTATTTGTTAAATTCGCGTGTTTTGACAGCCAGTGATTTGCATAAGGAATATTTCGATCAAATGGTCCATGAAGAAAGGGAAAGGGTGAAACAG